GATAAAGTGAAAGTTTCAGCAAGTTACCTACTGCAGCTTTAACGCACATTAGAATAAATATCAATAAACAGGTAAGTGAAATTATGAAATGCTGAAATTACTGAGAATAAAAGTGTTAATTTTGTTTTTGTTTTTTGTTGTCTATTTTAGATTAAGTGTTAGTCGTAGTCTTTAGAAGAAAATGCTTTTTTGTTTTGGTCACATTTAGTAATTTTTGTCCTTAACAGTTTTAGTCTATTTCAATCATTCAATCAACATTACATTTTAGGGTTAGGCTAAAATAATGTAAATAAGGTAACATATTTATTTTTATCCCGTAGGGGAATTTCAACACACAGGGGAATGTAGATTGTAGAAAGAAGAAAACAAAATACAATACAGTACAATGAAAAATACAGGAACAATATATACAATGTATACAGTAAAGTGATTAAGTTATGCTAACAGGAATTAAATAAAGATGACAATCGGCTATTAAGTGTTTTAGATTGTGTACCACTGTGAGAACTTTTGTGAAGATTTTGGTTTTGTAATCATGTCGAAAGAAGCTGAGAACTCTCTTACATCATGTTTTTAGATTGGACCAATGATGGAGATGTCCTGATAGACTTACAAAGTTTGATGGATGTTTTAAGAATGTTTTTTTTTCACTCACACACAACTTAAGCCGATTACTCAAAAAGCTCTGGTGTCTATTTAAGTATTTAACCTGTTTGTGTTCCTCCAGTGGGCTCCACATGCTGCAGCTATGCAGGGCGTCACACCACCTGCAGGGAGTACTGCCAGGCCATCTTCAGGACTGACTCCACCCCCACCGTGTCACAGATCAATGCTGTCAGAGAGTACTGTCAGAGTCACAGCGCTCAGCTGCTCAGCTGCGTCAGCAACTTCACCAAGGCTTACCCCATACGTAGCCCGATAGACAGTGAGTCCATCCACGGCCCACTCTCCTGCTGCTTCCTACTGTCAAATACACAGCCATTTTTATTATGCTATTAGTCTAGGTTTGCCAGCTCCGAAAACAATGTTTGTTCTTGTGGTATCTTCTTTATTTATGTTACGGGGGACAATACACAATAAATAACATGAGCACTTGAGTCATCATGTAAATGTGCCGGATTTATCTATACAGGCTCATTTTCATCTGCACTTCCTGGGGGGTTATAAAGTATGAAAATATTTTTAAAAAAACATAAAAAAGCACATAATCACAGACAAATATTAAAACAATGACATAACCATATGACATGTATAAGATTTTAAAGGAAACACACAGAAAAACATAAGCACAGACAATCAGTAAAACAATGACAGAAACACTACTCCAGATTATGACATTATATTTGATTCTCCAGTAACTACTATTAACCTTACCCTAACTACAGTGGCTGCAAATCACACGAGAAATTGAAAGAACGCTATTTAGAGCCAGTATCTGGTTCATCTGTTCTGGGCTACTGCATCAACATGACGGACTCCATGGAAGGTGACCCACACTCATTGTAAAACCAGAGAAGTTAATTAGGGACCGAGCCAG